TATTGACATGTGGAGCCATGGACATAAGATAGCCACAGCTTTGTCCTGCTGTGGTAGAATCACTTCTCCAGTGGCTGGGCCTTGGCTCTTGGGCACTAGTGCTCTGTTCACTTTTGTGCCCTCTTGGCTTTTCCACCATACACATGTACTCTTCTTTTCATATCATCCAGTGTGACCTGAGCATATTTCAGCATAATCTACCTCATTCAGCTAGCAGCTGTCTTTCCTTTTTACACTGTGAGGCTGCAATATGAGGGTGTTCGGGAGGGTCTCCTGTGGATATGAGCTGGAGACTCAGCTCAGGCCAGAGCTACGGGGTGAGGGCGTGAGGTGTGTCCTCAGGGGTCATTGTCAATTTGAGAGATAGCCAAGGAACCACAGGTAGATGCCACCATATTTAGGATGATCTGGCTTGTAAGCACTTTATACAATTTAGCAATGAGGAAGGAGAGTAGTGGGCTATGGAGGACTGGTCACCACGGGGAGGAAGTGGGCCCTGGGCTTCACTAAGCCCAGTACTGCCCGTCAGCCCCTCCCTGGAGGGCTGGCAAGTGCAGGTGGGCCAGCCCAGCAGACAGAGTGTGTGGGAGGACCACTTCCCCAACCAGGCCTATTCTGTAAATGCTGAGGTGATCAGGGCCAAGATGGAAGGCCCTTTGGTCTCTGCTACAGAAGGTGGGTGGGGTGATCAGTGGATTGTGGGGTGGAGCAGAGAAGACTGGGCAGGTGGCATTGCCACTATGTCTGGGCACTCCTCACGCTTTTTGGGGCCACCTGTTAACTCTTCCCACAAACCCTGCTGGTCTGCATCTCCCAGATGGGGAAGCAAAAGCTCAGAGAAGCCAGGAATTTGGATGCAGTTCCCTGCATAAGTGGTAGTGATAGGATTCAAATCCTGGTTTGTCTGTTTGGTGCTCTATCCACCCCTACTCTCTGTCTTCTGAAATAGCCTGGGCCTGTTGGCTCCCATTAGGCTGTCCATAGGCCTGTGAGTGTGGTGGCTTCTGTGCTTGGAGGCAGGTGGGGGTCTTCTTGGGCTTCAAGGTGTGGTGGCTGTATGAGGGGGGATATAGATGAACAAGCCCCCACTCCCACCCTCTAGGAACCTGCATGAGGTTCATGGACTGGAGAATTATCAGAAGTCCATTCACTGTGATTAGTCTGTGACTGGCAGTGCCACCTAGAGTCTTTCTAGGAAAGTTACAGAATAGCCAATGAGAAGGACTGATTGCCTGTTTTTTCCATCAGCTTGCCTTGTTTCCTTTCTTCTTTCAAAATTAACTAAAATGGGCCAGCTGAGGCATCGTTATTAGAAAATCTTCTGGCCTTTATTTTAGGACCAGGTGTGGGAGATGGGACCTTTGCACAGCATGGGGAATAGGGCTCCCAGGCTCAGCCAGTGGCATGGGCCTGGGGAAGGAGGAGGATCACTAATGTTGCAGAAGACGGTCTTCCCGGGAACAGGATAGGTTCTTGGTCTGTCTTTTAGAGTGTATTTGAGAAAAATGTTGTACTTTCATAGCCTTGCTGCTCAGCTTCTCACCTCAGGCTTACTCAGCCAGTATCACATGCTGGAAACAGTAAAAAGGAGGCCTACCCTTTTCATAGGAGCTCTGGTAGCACAGTGGCTAAGACACTTGACTGCTAACCAGAAGGCTGGCGGTTCAAACCCAACAGCCACTCTTCGGAAGGAAGATGGGGCAATCTACTTCTGTAGTGATACTGCCTCAGAAACCCAAGGAGGGGTTTACTATGAGTCGGGTCTGACTTGATGGCACATAACAACAACAACAACAAACCCTTTTCATAATTTTCAGCTCTTCCAGATGGGTTCCATATACAAAATGGTGTGTAGCTGGGAGGAGGAAGACACACTGGGATCTGTGTTGGTGACTAGCTTAAGTTACAGTCACTGTTCTTCCTCTAAGTGTGCTAGTTAGGATAGCAGGCACCACTAACCTGGAGTGACGTGTCTTCTGGACACCTGTATTCTCCATGGGTCCCTAAGAATTGAGAACCGTCAGGCCCTCTGAGCAGGGCCTTGCTCAAGTGGCCAGAGTGGATTCATTCAGGCTTGTTTCACAGCAGTGTCTGTGTTCAGTGTCATGTGCATGATACAGAGGCCCTTTGTAGACAGAGATGCTTTCACTGAGGCCAGGACATCTCTGCCGGAATCTGTCCTCGCAGCTGAGACCGGCCGGGCGCAGCTCTGCTTATACTCAGGGTGGTGGCTTGTGAATTTTGCCACCTGTGGAACTGAGAGCTGTGCATCCGCTTATGAAAACCACAGCATTCGGGGGAATACCCTTTGTCTTTAGCGTACACATTGATGTGGTAAACAATTTCTGTATGTGTCACTGCATGACTCTGATAGCTCCAGTTATGGTAGACAAGGCATGTAAAAACTAATTTTAAACCAGTGTGGTCTTACAGATGCACTGAAAAGCCAAGAGGACAAGGGAAGCCTCATTCCTGCAGTAGACCCATGGGCACCCTGGCCTGGCTGAATTAGGCACTGTGGCAACACAGCCAAGGAGCAGCTCTCCCTGCCAGGCTGGGGTTCACTTTCAGAGCATGTTTTTGGGCAGAGGGCACAGGACCTTCTACTTTCCTCACTCATTATTACCATTTGGCAGTAAATGAAGGATGTCAGCTGTGCTGTATTTTCTATGAGTTGAGGGTGTGTGAACCAAGCCCCAGAAGTTCTTTTGTCAGGAAGGAAGGCTGTGGGAAGTGGGTGGCCACGTGGCTAGCCAGAGACTGGGGAGCCCATTCAGAGCTGCCTGGCATCCCTCTTCCCCAATCTGGATGGTGATGTCTTTGCTTCTTGAGCACAGAGAACCCAAACCTAAGTATTGTGATTGGCATAGGTGGCACTTGGGAACAAAACCGACAATGATTGTATTTTCGTTTTGGTGTGTTATCAGGAAATTAAATTGTTAAATGGATTAAGGACTTTTCATTACTATCAAGCTTTATTTCTAAAGAAATACTGTGGAAGGTATAATTGGGGTAATGAACTAGGATGAGATTTATTTTATTTAGGAAAACACATTTGTATATTTTGTAACAGGGAGCTCTGGTAACATAGTGCCTGAGGCACTTGACTGCTAACCAGAAGGCTGGTGCTTCAAAGCCGCCAGCCACTCCTCGGAAGGAAGATGGGGCAATCTACTTCCGTAGTGATACTGCCTTAGGAACCCAAGGAGGGGTTGCTATGAGTCAGGTCCGACTCCACAACACATAACAACAACAACATATTTTGTAACTGGCAGCCTTGGAGATTAGATAGACGGTTGCTGACTGCTGCTTTTTTTTTTTTTTTTTTTTTAAATCTTCTGATTGACATAAATCAACAGCTTCATGCCATAGGATAATTCAAATGAAATCTTACTGCTCTTTGTTTTGTGCTCATTGTGTTGTTTTTTGAGTTTTGTGACCAAGCAATCTCTCTGCATGGCAGTATTCGGGAGCACAGAAGAATTTGCTGCCCCACTATACCTGGAGGCAGCCTGGTCCTCTGGTGTAGTTACCTGCGAGGACATAACTGTGCTTATCCATCTTCTGTTTTATTCACTGGAGCCACAGCCCAGTCATCTAGAAACCTCATTTGGCAGGACTCTTTCCTGGCCTTTTACTTTTCACAGAAGCAAACTGCAAGAAGCAGATTTTGATTGGCGATTCAAACAGAAGTGACTTTCAGATGAGTAAATTCTGATAGGTTTGCTAGCATAGATTCCATAGAAGGAGATAAACTCATATACAATTAGAACATTTTAAAACAACTTCCCATTAGTCAGAAAATTGAATTCTCCATTTGTCTGTCCATGCATGTATGCATCTATTCACCCAACAAATAAATGGCAGGTGCACTGCTCAACACTGAGGGTGGATAGAGGATGGGAACATGCATAGGTTGTGTAGCCCCAGTGTGGTGAGCACTTTATGGGAGAGTGACAGAGAGTGGGCTATACCTCGGTGGTTGGGGGGGGGGTGCCTTCCTGGAGGTAGGCTCCCGGCCTCTGAAAGTTGAGGAAGTGCATGAATGAAGGAGACAATGCGCATGAAGGCCCAGAGGGAGAGCAGAGCCCAGAGCTGCCTAAGATGGCTGTTCCAGATCTTTCTTTGTCTCTCTGTCTTCTCAGAATTGTGAAGCATAATGGGCCTTCCCCTGGGATGAGGGTTGCACACTCAGATGTATGTTCCCAGGTTTTACATTTTTACATCTAATTTCTGGAGGCACTCAGACTCTCTGAGCAACATGACATCCTTGTGGGTGGGGCCTAGCATTCTCTCATGGTGGTGGGGGGTGCTGGCTTTATGTGTGCATCCGTAAGATCCCTTTATGGGAGTCATTCATTTGGGGTTTGATGCGTCAGCTGGAAATTCACATTTCATCCCTTTAGTAGAAACTGTCTTTCCAGGAGCTGCTTACAAATATTTATAGATAAAATATTTATAGCAAAAATGTCCATATATGTGCTTTTCTTTTCTAGTAAATGTTATTTAAAACAACAGATTTTTGCAGAAATCACTACAGAACAGTTTGGGCTTCATTTTTCCATGATCCTTAAATCTAATAAGAGGCAAAATGAAATTCTCAAATGCTGGGGGCATCTTAAGCAGTATGCTTGGCCTACAAATGCCCTAAACATGTTTGGATAATCATCTTCAATTCAGCTTTTGAGAAAGTATATTCTTGATCTTTTAAAAAATTAGTTCATCTTTGAAACAATGCAAATGTGCTGTGGTGATGCAGGTTGCCACCCCATGAAGACTGGTAGCTGAAGGTGTCTTCTTGGGGTCATTGTTGTGTGGTTTATGTCATGATAAAACTACATTTGACCTATGCTTACTCTTGAAGTACTCTGTGAACCTTTCCCATCTTGCTGGATTGTTGGCAGCCCTGTGGATTTGCCATGGGAATGGAATGTTATCTGATAAGGTCTGTGGCAACCCTGTCTTTTGCACATGGTGACTTTACCTTGTTGCCCCCACAGCCACCTCCCCACGGGTGTCCTCTGAGCTGGAGCAGGCTCGGCCCCAGACCAGTGGAGAAGAGGAGCTGCAGCTGCAGCTGGCACTGGCCATGAGCAGAGAAGTGGCTGAGCAGGTAGGTCAGTGCCCAGTGTGGTCAGCCCTGTGGGGACAGAGCAGGGTGGGTTCCAGGGAGGACCACAAGCCCTGTCTTCAAGACATTTCAGATGTGGTTTCCAAGCTGGGATTTTGTGCTGCCATGTGCTGTCACCCACTGTCCCTGACAGGAAGGGAGGCTATACCATGGTATACTAGGAAAGGTTTTTGGGTAAGTTAGTGCCTAGGGAAGAAACCAGTCAAAAGGGCTTCCCAGAAACCCTTGTGCAGCCTTGATCAGCATTCAGGGCTCTGTGTTTAGTGAGTGGAATGTGCACAGCCTCCTTGAGGAATACGCATGCAGGACATTCCTTCTGCAAAGGGGCCAGGGTCAGAGTGCCTCAGGGAGGGGGTGCAAGGAAGTGGCACCTCCTGTGTGTGACACGTGGGCTGGGCGGGCTCATTCCAGGAGGGCAGGTTGCTGAGATGCACCAAAACCCCCAACAGTGCCTAGAGGCCCAGAGAAAAAGCTAGAAAAAGACGAGAAGGTGCGTCTGGAAAGAAGAGTTCTTGTGTTCAGATGACAGAAGTACATGTGATCTTAATTGTTTTTCAGTTCCAGTTGTTCTTTAATAAACATTAATGGCTTTAAAATGGGGGCAGAGGGAAAGGAGAGATTAAAGTTCCCCTTTGAAGTCATTCTCCATGCTAATTGGAATTTTCCAGTCTGTGTCCACAGACCCTTGGCGAAAGGGGTAGGCAGAGTTAGGGCAAGCGGTGTGCCTGCTCTAGTTTGGGAGCTGGTGCTCAGAGAACAGTATTAGGGATATATGTGCAGAGATATTTCCCAACAATACTTGTCTATTTATGATTGGAAATGTGCTAAAACTCAACCGCAGTGGACAGCTTCAATGATGGCCTCTCTGTACCCAGGTAGAAAAGTTACACAGTCCTCGAGTCTGTGCACGCAGATGCGCAGGAGAGCGCTCGCTGGGAGATGCAGGGCCCAGACAGACGGTTCGATCCCTTTCAGTTAATCAATCATATCTGTGTGTTATTTATAATACCATGTTTATGAATAGGAGCATGCGTAAATCATTTCTGTTAGAAATCAGAGCTTTTTGGAAGCATATGCAGTGGGAGGTGGAATACTCTGTGATTCTCATCCTCCTCATTCTTTCTGGGTTGTCTGATTCTGTGTTTTATAAGGAGCTATATTGATTTTATCATTAGAAAGAGTTATAAAGCCATTTTTATTTTGAGAAAAAAATGTTAAAAATCCTCTTTCTCCTTTTGGTGGTGCCCGTTTCAGACTCCCTGGTGCCTGTCGCGAAGGGAGTTGAAATCTCATGTGTGGCCCAGTGAGGAAGGAGTCTATTGAGCTCAGGGTTTTTTTTGTTTTGTTTTTTGTGGCATGAAATTCACTATTAAAAAGTAATCTTGTTTTATAAGTTTTCAAACCTTCCTTGGAGATTATGTGGAATACAATGTTGTGTTTCCTATTGCTGGCCAGTGTTGCTTTGCTCTATGTAGTGGTGTTATGACATTAAAATCAGCTTAAAATTTCACTTACATAAAAAGAGAAGAACATGCAGATGTATAAAGACTAAAATTTACTAGAGGTTACCAGGCGCAGGAGGGAGGAGGAAAAGTAGGGTGGGGCTTATTGTTTATGGAGCACTAAGTTTCTGTTAATGATGATGGGGAAATTACATTAAGGCTAAGGGTTGCACAGCCAATTAATGTGATTGATCTCAAAAGTTGTATACCTGTTAAAAGTTGAATTGGCAAGTGTGTGATACATATACAGGTATGTGTTGCTTAACGTCCATGATACGTTCTGTGAAATAGGACATTACGTGATTTGGATGTTGTGAGAACATCATCATTATGTACGTTCAAATTGCGTGACGTCTGAGGTCATGTGGCTTGTGTGGAGCTGTGGGCTTGAGCCCTGGTGGCTGTTGCTTCCTGTGGCTGCTTTCTGTGATCATGCTCTTCTCCACAGGCACAGTACTCCCAGCTGGGAAGAGGGGGCAGAGGAGTGTTTACTCCTGACTCAGTGGTACTGATGTCCCTTCTCCTCCCTTGGCTGTTGCTCCAGTAGGGACTGGAACCTGAACTCAGAGCAGGGATCTTCAGCCCTATGAGCTGAAGGGATTTCCACCCTGAGACCCCCCACCTATGCTCAGACAGCTAGCATAGGGGTCCCAGGTGTACACACCTTTAGGACACCTCAGAGAAGATGGCAGCCCTAGGGGATGATTATGAGTCACCTCCTGCCCCACTCCTTGTCATTCTCTTATCAGTGGAAACACCTCCTGGAGCCCATAACCACCATAAGGGCCCTGGTTTACCTCCATGATCAACCTTACACTCCCCTCCCCCACAAGCCCTGAGGCGCTCTCCCAGGCGCAGCAAGAGGAGGAGCTAACAGGCCTGTATCTCCAAGATGTCCAGAAAGTTGAGAGACACCTCCTAGCCTGATTCTGAGTCAGAACACAAGAAGGTACCCCTGTTTCCCCCAGCCAGACATACGTGAGGTAGGGTGAAGGTGGGCCAGGATGCAGGGGTACTGAAGAACCTGCTGAGGGCCCTTCCATAGAGACCCAAGTATGGGGAATACTTGGGGCCAGAGGCCAATTTGGAGCGGTCAGTGGGTCAGCCACCAGGGGCTGGACCCTGCACACAGAAGAGGGGTGTCTGCCTGGGGACCAGTGGTGGCCCCAAACAGGCTGAGATGGGCAGTGGCTTTGGCCTGGGCATGAGCTTTGGTGTCCAGCAGGGTGGTGCACAGGACGGGAAGCCACACAGCCGTGAGACCTGTGGCAAGAGCTTCAGGTACAACTCTCTGCTATCAAAGTACCAGCGTTAACCTATATGGGTGAGAGGCTGTACAAGTGTGGACAATGCAACAAGGCCTTCAGCCACAGCTTGTCCTTCACATAGCACTTGTGCATCCACAGTGGTAAAAAGCCCTGCAAATGCAGTCAGGCCTTCAGCCAGAGCTCCAACTTGGTGTAGTACATTCACCCAGTGTGACAAGGCCCTTTATCCAGAGCTCCATGCTCATCTGAACACCAGCAAATCCACACAAGTGAGAAGCTCTATGAATGCCACGGGTGTTTCAAGGCCTTCTGCAGTGACTCCTGTGTCTCCCTAGCACCTACACATCCTCACGGGGGACCCTTCACCTGCAGCACCTGGGGCAAGGCCTTCAGCCAGCGCTGGCAACTCATCTGGCACCAGTGGATCCAGAGTATTAAGGCTCCAGCAGGAAGGGCTTCTGCTTGCCCACTCTCCCACACAACCATCCAGCCCTGCATGCCCATTGTCCCCAGTAAATTCTTTCTGGTTGCTGGAAAAGAAAACCTTATGGGACCACAGACGTATAAGCGGTCAGATATTGTTATGCAGCACATACCTGTATTTACAACTACAAAAGAGTAGCTACTGAGGCTGCTTATAGACAACCAAACGTCTCATGGGATTTGATTTCTTGGTTTGGATATTGGGTCATGATTTCATGGGCTGTTCCAGTTAATTGACTTAATAATGTGTTTTAGTGCTACCACCTGCTAGTTTGCATAGTGCCTGGGCTCTTAAAAGCTTACAAGCAGCCATCCATGGTTCAATAATTGATCTCTACTCACCTAGAGCAACCAAGAAAGGAGTCAGGAATTGGAGGAGGAAATGGAGTGTATGACTAATTGTCACCTCAAACAACTATCTTCTTTGTGTGAGACCAGAAGAACTGGATGGTGCCCAGCTGCCATTACTGAATGCTTTGATCAAAGATTCTGTAGAGAATTCTGATCAAAATGGCGGGAAAGCAGACAGAATTTCAAATTGTCATGGAATCCAGAATTTCTGGAGCCATTTAAGCTGGATGAATCCCTGAAACTATTGCCCTGAGATAATCTTTAAACCATAAACCAAAAGTAACCCCTGAAGTCTTCTTGAAACCAACCAACCAACCAAACAAACAAAAAAAACCCACAAACCCTTGCCATCAAGTGAATTCTGACTCACAGCAACCCTAATTAGTAAAGAATGTCTGCCTTGCATTTTGCTTGATCTGTATGGGATCAAATTGACAGCAGGAACTTGAAAGGGCAGGTAGGAAACTTAGAGGGCAGTGAGATTTTGTCAGTGCAGGAGGAACAATTCGGAAAAGAAGGGTGAGACTATTTTGCATAATTTGCAGAATGTAATCTTTGTCACTGAATTGTACATGTAGAAATTGTTGAATCGGTGTATGTTTTCCTGTTATATTCTCAACAACAACAAAGTAAGATAAATTACTTAAAAAAAAATCAACTTCAAGTTGGAGTTATCCCTCTGCAGGAAGAACGCCTCAGGCGGGGGGATGACCTCAGATTACAGATGGCCCTTGAGGAAAGCCGAAGAGACACAGTTAAAGTTCCGAAAAAGAAAGAGGTAAGAGCTTCATTGGGAAGAGAAATATTTGAGACTATCTCATGGTTGCTGTAGAAATGCCTCTCTGCCCCAGTCCGGTAACACGTGTGTGATGTGTGGAGTATTCTCAGACCATGCCATTTTCTCTACTACTAAACAAATGTCTCAGGTGCCTGTGGTCAGCAAGAGTAAATTGAAGACATAGCTGAAAATATGTCTGACTCTACTGTGACAGGCCCGTCTGTACTGCACCCCTGCCCTCCAGAGCAGGTGGGCATGGCTGTTGGGCCTGGCCTGGTCACCTGGGTTCATTGGACTCCAACCCCCACCTCCAATGGGTAAGCACAGGCAGTGGGCCCCCAGTTACCTGGGATCACATTCCATCCCATTAACCAGGAGATACTTACGTCCCACTTCCTCAATTTTCCTCATCTGTGAAATGAGGATGATAATTGTGCCTATGCCATACAGTTGTGGTGAATATTAAAAAAATGTTGCCACTGAGTTGACTCCAACTCATGGTGACCTCAGTAGTATCAAAGTAGAACTGTGCTCTGTAGGATTTTCAAGGCTGATTTTTTTGAAAATCAAGGTGCGTTAACCATGTGCACCACCCAGGGACTCCATGGTGAAAGTTAAGTTCATTGTCAAGTACTTAGAAGGATGTTCTGGCACAAGGCAAGCCTTCCATCATGTGGGCCTTCATCATAGTCATTGTTACCTCTCTGTGCCAGGCACCTTGCTTGAGCATAAAGATGACCAGAGTGGTGTCATTCCTGGCACACTCATCACCCATTAAAGAGATGTCCCTTCTAACCACAGAGGGCAGGGCTCCAGTGCTGCTTGGTGGCTGTGGGAGCAGGGAAGGGGAACCTCAGAAGAGAAGGCTGTACTTAGGAGGTGGTGATATGGGGGCAGGGCTGTCTCCTGTAGTTAGAGGGCTTGGTGAATAGTTATGACAAACATAGGAAGATTTGCTGTGACTATAGCGATATAAGTGAGTCCTGGTAGCACAGTGGTTAAGTACTCACTTACTAGCTGAAAGGTCAGTGGTTGAAATGCTCCAGCTGCTCTGTGGGAGAAGGATGTGGCAGTTGTTGTTGTTGTTGTTATGTGCCATCGAGTCGGCCCTGATTCATAGGGACCCCTCCTTGGGTTGCTGAGGCAGTATCACTACGGAAATAGATTGCCCAACCTTCCTTCTGAGGAGTGGCTGGTGGGTTTGACCCACCAGCCTTCTGGTTAGCAGTCAAATGCCTTAGGCACTGTGCTACCAGAACTCCTGGATATGGCAATATGCTTCCATAAAGATCGCAGCTTTTGAAACCAAATGGGACAGTTCTACTCTGTTCTACAGGGTCATTATGAATCTGAATCTGTTTTATGGTGATGGGTTGCCATTTGGTAGCAGTGTAAAACTTGTTTCTTTCTTTGTCTCAGAAGCACGGTTCGCACCCACAGCAAACCACTCTGTTGGATTTAATGGATGCTCTCCCCGGTTCGGGCCCTGTAGCCCAGAAAGCAGAGCCCTGGGGCCCAGCGCCCACAGCTAGCCAGAGCAACCCATGGGGTGGGCCAGCAGCCCCAGCAAGCACCTCGGACCCCTGGCCATCATTTGGTAAGACCCTTTGGTTCCTCTCCCAGGCTTCCCTGCTGAATAAATGAGGGATGGCAGAAAGAGCTCTTTGTTCTTTCTTGCTTCTCACTGAAGTGGGGTGTTGGTTGGGTTGATTGTAATGAATTCTCTGTGCTCTCCAGGCACCTGCAGTGATGCCAGCAGGCTAGGCCCTCCTTTCTTGGGGGTTGTGCTGAGCACTCCATCTCTTCCATATTGAATGGTTTCTGCTTTGGTCAAGGGAAAGCCAACTTGCTCTCTGCTTCCTGTGTACATCAGAAGTGACTTATCCCATCCTTGGGACACATTTTAACTCTCTTCAGCTTCCTAAGTATACCCAGCACCCCTGTTGGAGGAGCTGTATGATATACAGCATGAAACATTTAAGTCAAATTGCTGTAATTAGCTGGAAATTAGGATGTGTTTAACATAACCACTGATGAGAAGGGATACATTTACTGTAATTTCTACTTGTTATATAAAGCAATTTAATAGGCTTATTGAATATTCTGAAATTCTGTTTGATGCCAAATTTAAGAGAATTTGTGCTAGGAGACTTGAAACATGGCTGATGCGGGGTGATGGCCTTGTCCTGTGGGCTTCTTAGTCGACGGACAGGATGCTTGGGGCTCAGAAGCCTTGTGGTGACCCTGGCCTGTTGCTTCTGAGGCCCCCTCAGTGCTTTCCAGGCTTTCTGCCTGGGAGCTTTGAATTGTGTGTTTTGTGGCATCTTGAAGTTTCCACAAACTGGAACCATCTTTTGTATTCATTTTGGTCATCTGGATGTTTGCTGAGGTGTGCCAAATGCCAGGCTCTATCCTGTTATACAGGGACCCAAGGGCAGATAGGTAATGCTCATGCTCTCTAGACCCTGGTCTGGTGCAGGCCAGCTGGCTGCACATGATTGTAGTACTGTGTGCTCGACCTTACTAGACGTTATTTGAGTGATGCTGGGTCAGGGCTCAACTTCTGGGACCAGGGGGTGTGGGACAAGCTTCCAGAGGAAACCTTCAAGGAATTGCAAAAGATGGCCAGGCAGCAGAGAGGTGGAAGTGTTTCCGGCAGGATGACTGAGCTGTGTGAAGGCATGAGAGCATGCACGTCTGGTGTAGTGGGCTTAGGGCACTGTCCAGTGTGAGACTGGGGAGGAAGGAGGTGGCTGGGTGCAGGCCATGCTTGCAGCCTGTAAAGCGATTGGGACTTGGTGTAGGATGTGGTGCCCTAAGTCCTGGATGCCCTTTGGTGATGCTGTTGGCTCCAGTGGTGAAGTGGAGCCCCTGGACCTTGGGGGAAATCCCCAGGCTGAATTTCCTAGTTTTCAACACCTCAAGGGCTGCTAGCAGGGCTGTCTTGATGTGGTATGTGAGGGGAACCATGGTAGGATATCACTGTGGAACATACACAAGCATTGTGAGGCTGGGATACCCTGGGAAGGTGGTTGGGGAGCATGGAAGTCTGCACACATGCTTGCCTGCAGGGGGTATGAGTTGTGTGGTAGAGTGAGGCAGTGCTAATGTGCCCTTGGGAGTACAGGGAGAGCAGGCTCCTGTAGGCGATAACTTCTGGTTTCACTTTTCAACTTGAATCCAGTTCTGTGGCATGATGGCCACCTTAAGTTATGGCTAGGATATTCTTCTGGGGAGATTTTTCAGCCCCTTTCAAAATTTTAAGTGGATTAGTTGGATGGTTTTCTCAGTGCCCAGAAAAGAAAGTGGCTCTACTAGGAGCCAGATGAGTTTAATAATAAGCTTAAGCTGTGCTGAGTTGGGGGTTGAATCTAGGAGGACACTGGGTCAGGGTGGGTAGTTGGGAGACGGACTTTTTACTCTCTGCCTTTTTTTTTTTTTTTTAAACTGTCTGAGTTGTTTACCAGAGTATATGGTACTTGAACGTAATGCACTGCTGTCGAGTCAGATCCAACTCATAGTGACCCCTTCTTGGATTTCCGAGGCAATATCACTATGGAAATAGATTGCCCAGCCTTCCTTACAAGGAGTGACTGGTGGATTTGAACCACCAGGCTTCTGGTTAGCAGTCAAATGCCTTAGGCACTACGCTACCAATTTGTAATATGTTTGTATTATACTTACCCCTGCACAGATAAGCTGGGGAAGTTTTCATTTGGCTGAATGGTGGCAGATCCAAGGACCAGTGTCCTCCTCTAGTGGCCGCAAGTTCTCCAACACCTGCAGGCACAGGCAGTGCCTTCAGGCACAGTCAACAAGGGGTGAGGCCCAGGCTACTGTGCAGAAAGTGGTATGATGGGGCCACCAGGAGCAAGGCAGCCTGGGATACCTGGACATCCCCTGGGAATGCCAGCCCAAGTGGATCTATATAGTATCTTTTTTTTTTGAGATAAAATTCATATACCATAAAATTCACCTCTTTAACCATTTTAAAATGTACATCATGATATAGTGCAACCATCACCTCTAATTCCATCACTTTTTCATCATCACAAAAGGAAACCCCTTTGTGGGTCCATTAGCAGTCACTCTCCATTCCCTTCCCTCCAACCCCTGGCAACCACTAATCTGCTTTCTGTCTCTTTGTATTTGCCTATTTTGGACATTTTTTATAACAGGAATCATACAATTTGTGACTTTGTGTTTGCTTCTTTGACTTGGCATTGTGTTTTAAACATTCATCCATGTGGTATCATGTGTCAGAGTTTTATTCCTCTTCAAGGCTACTGGGTAATATTCTATTATATAGATAGAACACAATTTGTCGATCTGTTCATCAGTTGATGAGCATTTGGATTTCTTCTATTTTTTTCACTATTGTGAATCCAAGTTTTTAAGAAAAGATTGAAACCTGAGTTTTAGAAATTAATCATTTGAGAGTTCCAGTAAGATGGCGGACTAGGCAGAAGGACTGCACAGACCCTCTTCAACAAAGAAAAGGGAAACCAATTAACACACACACACAAGATAATCCTGGACCCCTGAGCTGTGAAGGAAGGGATATAGAAGTGGACTAAACCCCATCTAGCAGAAGAATTTGCGTGAAAATACCAAAAAAGGAGACATATGGAGCTGCAGTCTGGGAGCGACCCTGAGCGATCCTGACGGCACAGACAGCTTGGAGACTGCCGAGTGGTGGTAGGACCTAAGAATTAACCTAAAAATCAGCCCCGCTAGCCAGGGACTGCATGGAGGACTGCTCTGGTGGCTGAGGGAAAAACGGAGAAGGCAAAGAGAAAGGCAGTCTGAGCTGTGGACTTTTGCCTGTCTGGAGGGTGCCGCCATTTTGAATGTTTACAAGCAGCTTGACCATTTTGGATATTTAAAGAGATAGCACTCTCTCAGATTGCAGGGGCTTGAGAACAGGTTCTGCTTGCCAGCAACTCCAAGGTCTCTCCGGACCTGCATGACTGAAAAGGTGCGACGTTCCTCTTGTTACTCTTATACCCCACACCCGCTTGGTGAACGGAGGTGAGGCCATCCCCCACTCCCACCCACCTTCTGGGCTTGCAGGAACTCCATCCCAGTCAGGGTGCCCTACCCTGTCCTCCCGATTTTTTTTTTTTTCCCTCTCTTT